TTTCTTCTGGAGACCAGGGGCAGGGTCTGCACCGGCCTTGTGGTTTAGCCCAGTGCCTAACCCAATGGACTGCCTGAGCCCTTTCCCAGAAACAGAAAGAATTCGGCTGGAGAACAAATCTGTCATAAGGTAAGCCTTAGACCGAATCCACAGTCATTGCTCTATGGACTATTACAATGCTCCATCCCACTTTTGAAAAAGCTTTAAATTTATTCCCGAACAGAGAGAGCAAAGAAAATATACTTATTATGAAAGATATAGATTTTGGCGGATTTAATAGGATGAATAGAGTGGGGAAGTTTGGGTTTAAGCATGTAATATCAGTAATGTCTTTTGAATTTTTTCTCTTCTTTCTTTCCTTTTTTCTGTTCTCTTCCTTTCTTTTCTTCTCACTTTGCTTCTACTCTGCTTTGATCTTCTTACTTCATTGGGAAACTATTATATGGAGGGCATTGCATTAAATATCTAGATATGTTTGATTTTCAACCTTCAGTGAATAAATCAGTATATATATTTTTTTATATCTTCACAATTTTAATCATTGGAAATCCAAGTTTCTCTTTTTTCCACACATTTTTACTTAGTATGGTGGTGAAGGCGCCCTGGTTATAAATAGGCATTCTAAGTATGATATATCTTAGACATGGAGAACATTCATAGAGCCTTTCTACTATTTTCCAGTAAACCTTCCTATGATTTATATGCTACTATCAATTGCGGGTTTGGAATGCACTGTAATAAATGGCTGGCTGGTTCAAAAAAGAGAGAAAATGATTTTGTCATTAGGAAAGACCTCTGATGGTGGATACTGGTGGATACTGGTGGTTAAGAATCTAAAAGATTTTCTCAACCCCTCTGCCCCATACTTGGTGCGAGCTGTGTGCCACACTGCCCATGGAACTGTTATTCTTGCATTCCAATGCACTTTCTTAGTTCGGCTGCAGTGTTTTCCAGCTGTTGGATGCTCCACTGCCATTGCGTTCTATTTGACTGAAGCTTGTTGACCTGACAGTGCAAACGCTTCAGAATTGCATCGTATCTCTTATGTTGTACCTCTATTTCTTTTTCTAATTTTTCATGGATCTGATTTTCTTTCTCAAGAAAATGTGTTTTTTCAGCAATTGACTTTTTTATGATTGTAATTTTATCACTCAGCTTCTTAATGTCTTCCTGTACTTCCAGTAACTGGTTTCCTTCTAAATTCTGGAGATCTTACATAAGCTTCTCTTTCATTGTCCCTAGTTCTTTAACAAAAACTCATTTTTCATGGAGTTCAGTCATGAATGTCCATTTGCTTTCCGTCTCTCCCAAACTATCTTCATGTGCTTTCATTTTTGCATAATATGCCTTATATCTTGTCATTTGTAACTCAAAATCTTCTTGAGCTGCTTCTGTATCAAATCGAAGCTTTACGCTTTCTATATAGGAAGACTTGATTTGGGTTTCCAGGTTTCTACACTGAAGGTTGCCATTCTCTATGGCAGCATCTTGCTGATAAATTTGCCTTTCTGTTTCTTTTGTTTCTCTGGAGACAGATGCTATCTGTTTTGCAAGCTCATGAAGTTCATTCTGCAAATGGGACAGACATTTTTTGCTTTTTCCTGTTTCTGATGCTTGAGATTGTTGCTGCCTTGTGACTTGCTCGACAACATCAGTTAATGAAGTTGTCTCTTGCTGATCCACAGCTTCAGCGGCCGGCCGGGGTCCAGTTCCTCTTCCCGCCTCGGGCTGAAGGGCGCAGCTAAATTTGTAGTGTTTATATCTAACAATAATAGCCCTTTTAAAAAATTCATTTTAGTGGGGGCTCGTACAACTCTTATCACAATCTATACATCCATCCATTGTGTCAAACACATTCGTTCATGTGTTGCCATCATCATTTTCAAAACATTTCCTTTTACTTGAACCCTAGTTATCAGATTCTCACTTTTTCCCTCCCTCCCCCACCCTCCTACCCTCATGAACCCTGATAATTATAAATTATTACTAATTTTTCATATCTTATACTGACTGATGTCTCCCTTTATCCACTTTTCTGTTGTCCTTTGGAGGGGGTTATATGTAGATCATTGTGGTCAGATTTCCCTTTTTACCTCCACCTTCTCCTTTCCCTCCTGGTATGGCTACTCTCAATGCTGGTCCTGAGAGGTTTATCTGTCCTGGATTCCCTGCATTTCCAGCTCTTATCTTGACTTGTGTACATGCTCTGGTCTAGCCAGAATTTGTCAGGTAGAATTGGGGTCATGATAGTGGGGGATGGGAGAAGAAGCATTAAAGAACTAGAGGAAAATTATATGTTTCTTCAGTGCTATACTGCACCCTGACTGGCTCGTCTCCTCCCCGTGACCCTTCTGTAAGGGAATGTCCAATTGCCTACAGATGGGCTTTGGCTCTCCCTCCGCACTCCCCCTCTTTCACAATAATATGATTTTTGTTCTGAGTCTTTGATGCCTGATGCCTTTTCTTATGATGGTTCTAGAATCTGAGGGTTGTAAACAATTGAGAAGTGTTAATACCGGTTGTGGGCTTGTCTGGGTTTTTTTGTGTGTGTGTGCCTCATCATTTGATAATTCTCTTATTATTGCAGTTGGTTTAAAAGTAAGTCTATAAAAATATTGTTCTTTGATTAAAGCGTGCTTTGAGTGCAAATAAATGGTTTTATTGATAACATAATCTCATCTGAATTTGATTAAGGTAAGTAAGAACTCAGCATGATCTTTAAGGAAGGTTTTACAAGTCTTTGATTGACATAACAAATGTCTTCTGGGACTCTCAAAATGCTGTGACATATAATCAATTGGTAGAAAACAAATTAATTGGTGCCCAGTGAGCATCAACTCCAGTCAACGTTCTTTGTGCCATGGTACGAACCAGGGAAATAATTATTTCCTGCCCTCAAAGTAATATCCTAAGTGTGAAGTGCCATCAGCTTGGCTGTTACATGATAAGGAAATACTCCTTTATAAAAATATGAAATGCAAATAAAACTTCTCATGATTACTGCTTCATTCCTCTCTCACAAATTCATCAAAGAAAATAATGGGAAATCAGGTATATTTGAATGAGAAGAGCTGTATGTGACTTTCAAGCAGCCATTTCTGAAAACCTGAGACAGCGACAAGTAGGGGTCCCTTATAAGAGTGACATAAGTCAAGCAATGTGAGTTAATTTTGGCATGAGGAGACAGGAACCAGTTTAGATCTAGGCTTTTCTTATGAAGTAATTTTCGACACCTGATCACTATGGAAGTCATGAAACGGAACTGTGTTCTCTCTCCTATGAACAGTGGAGGCCAATTTGGCTTAGAGCCTAGCCAAATGGAGTGCTAGTGTGAGATCCTGTCTGGAGAGTTGTGTTGTGCTTGTGCTGTAGAAAGATCATCTTGCTTCTACCATTCTCCATGACTACATTGGAAGAGTTGTTAATTTATTTATTTATTTATTCCAGTGATATTGAATAGTTCAAGTTATTACTAAACTTCCTAATGTCATTTCTATCAAAAAATGCCCACTGAGATTTCCAGTAAGTGTTAGGGTTAAACCATTAAAGTACAAATCATCTGTTTACCTCCTTCTCCATGAAAATCACTGATATATTAATGTAGCTTAATACATGTGAAAGCTATATTTTCTTATTTGTAGCTTATGCAGCTCTTGATTCCCAGTCCTTTGTAGTGGCATTGATGACAACAATGCAAACCACACCCAAATTCCAAAGTAGTTAACACCCACTTTGCTTCAATTAGAGTGAACACTGACAATCTCTTAATTCACAGAGTTTAGCTCTTGCTCCAACAGTAGCATTGTGGGTCACCAAGACTCCTCTTGCATCAATAATTAGCTAATGATAAAAGCAAATGACATCAGGACAATTTTTGATTGAAAAAAATTAAGTAGACATGATCATTGAAAAGCAAAAATGAAATTCTTAGGTTGTGTTGCTATAATTTTATAAGACAATAAAGAAATGCACATATTTGAAATGCCACCCCCAGGTCTTTTCAAATTTTCCCATGAACTTGGTGGCTAGATAAGCACTTAAGAATACGTTGGTGTCATTACCATAGCTTAATTAATTCTGATATAGTATTAATTAGCACCAACATAGTAGTAATTATGATAAAAAACTCTCTCTTGTAGGTTGCCTGTTTTTAATCTTTGTTGATAATATATAGGCCAAAGATCAATATGTTGTGCTTTTCTAAGCATTATATTCCTCTTTATTCTTCTCTCCTCTCAAAGAATCAATTTCTTAGTTCTATTTTACTAAGACGAATATAAAATATACAGTGGTTTGAATTCTTCAGTACAATGGAACAGGGAGCTGGACATTATATTAAAGGCCATGTAATGATGTGTGATTAAAATAACATGGGTGATCTAGAAAGTTATTTACTAAATTGTCAAAGTACATTTAAAATGTACTATTTTCTCTCATTCATAAAAAAACAACTTTGGTCAGACTGACATTTTTAGAAAGAACCTTGTTCTAATTTTCTTTCTTAAAAGTTTCTTCCAGTTTTGCTACTTTCCGGATTTTTTCCCAAAGCCTTTTTCTTTAACAACATAGAGCTGCAATCCTATCTGTAAATTCAATCCAGGTATGGAATGATTCCTTCTGTGTATCGTACTGAGCAGCTCCCCCTCCCCAACTGCACCCCCACTTCAGGACAATGCCAACGTGGCAAGGAGCTCACACTCACCCTTTTATTCTTGTTTTACAAAGATTCTCTGACTTTCCCATTCTTACTAATGCAAAAACGTTCTCAACAGACCAGAAAGTACTACCCTAACTGTGCAACTGTGTAACATCACAGTTCTTTCCCTTTCTTCATGTTACTATCACAGTCTTAAGTGCCATAAATGTGGTGCTGCATTTAAAAAGAATGCCCTTCTTCTCAACAATAGATTTGAGAAGTTTGTGTGTTTGGGGGACTATCACCCATGAACATAGTCCTCCCGCTGTGCATGATGGTCACACACTTCCTCTGAGATACCTACCAGCAGGAATCCTGGGGGGCAAGGATCCTCCCCTTGGCACTGGCTGCGGGGCCTGGATGCCATTTACAAACCCTGCCCTCAGGAAGCGAGGGCAGAACGCCTCCACCCCAATGGTTGGGAAGGATCCTTTTAAGAGACAGAAATTGACATTAATGAACGTCTTCTTTGTGGGAAAGTTCTTGATCAGTTCATTGGAATACAATCTAAAACAAACTGACATAATCATACACAAGGAAACTCTGAAAATAAAATAAATGGAATGCTTTACAGTTATACGTATTTTAAAAATCAATGCGGTTTCTTGAAAAGAAAGCTAGTAGCAAATAATTATTCTTAACAAGGGTGGAAAAACAGCAGAAACCCAAGATAACATTTTGTCAGCATAAAGTCCTGATGAAGAATCACAAAATAGATATGAACTATTAAATATGATTTGCAGAATTCACATCCACATGGGTTTTAGGCATGGGAAAGTAGCCACCAGAGGATGCTGAGAACTACACCAGCAGGGCTTTCCAGAGGTGTAGTGCTGCTAGTGCTTGCACCAAGGAAACCGCTCACCCATGATAATAATTACATGTGATTGTGATACGGTGATTAGACCACCAATGTACATGGTTTTCAATGTGTTACTTTTTTCTTTCATGGGAAAAACACAAGAGTTTGCAAAGGTAGAACTATATGTTTTTTAACTTCTAAAGATCTATTGTGAATCCAAAGAAGAATGTCAACTACTTGGAAACAGCCTTAGAATAATATAATGAATCATAGAATACAAGAATATCAGAGGTTTGAGAAATATCAGGGTTTGAGAATATCAGGGTTTGAGAAAGCGTCCAGTGAAAACTATCGTACAGAAGAGAGGTGTAGGTCTAAGTGGGGGAGTGATGTCATAATGCTGCGAAGCTCCCAGGACAAAATCTTCTTACCAGAGTTTAGAAATAAACAATGAGGCATTTTCTACATGGAAGATTGCAATCCTTTGAAAATGAGTTACAAATCCTACACTTATGGAATACTAACATCACAATTTGGGGTCTCAATGCTCTGAAAGATACTAAAATTGCTCAGAAGGAAATTTTACAGACATCCAGTATCAGAGTATGGTCAATACTGAAAGCTGACAAGTTATATATACGTTAAACGTTAAATCAAACGTTAGATCAAAATAATATTGTACAAAAAGTAGGTTACGCAGATGACTGTAAGAGGTATATCTCAATAGGCTCAGCAATTTTCCCATGCTGAGGCCTGAGGTCTCTCCTCCCACACTTCCATTTAACAAGTTTCATCTGAGGCTTCTTAGAACTTCACCCAAGATTTAAGGGAGCTGGTATGCTGCACCCTACGTATCTTTCTTGTCTAGAGAAAGTTGTTGCTCAAGAAAAGCGGTATTCCTTAAATTTTCATAGCTTTTATTATTTTTTTTATGAATGAGCAAAATTGCAATGCATGTTTTGATGGGCGAGGCCTATACATTGTACATTGGATTAAAGAAAGTTTAGAAAGGAAACCATATGCTATAGGTTTCTATGGACTATAGACTCTGGTATTAATATTGATTTTAGCATGCACTATTAAAATGGGCCTGTCAGGTAGATCCAGAGTTCTGAAACATTGAAAAGTGTTACAAAAGCCATCAATTGCTAGGCTAGAAAGTGTTCTGAGGTAACTTTAAACAAAGAGGGGATCTGGTTTCTCCTTGGTAGTGCCCGGAACGGGAACACAGGCTAATATGCCCTCGTGGGCAATGCTTCTGTCACAGAGAATGCTCTGTATTGTACTGTTTCCTCTCTGGGAAGCCACTCAGAAGGAAGGCACTCCACTGCATACCAGGGGGAGGTAATTATTTCAGACTCTCAAACAACATTCTTATTTAAAGTAATGATGAGGTTTCACTCGGGAAAATAATTACCAAAAAAAAGCAGATTTTATTATATGACGGACTTCAAAATAGTCTAGAAAAAATGTAATGAAGAGATAATAGAATTTTCCCATGAACTTTCAAGGCCTCTTAATTGCAGTGAAAAATTAAATATTGCATTTTTTATTATGGATTTATTGCAGTCCTATAATAACGAACCTGGCTAAAGAATATTAAATCATAAAAAGTAGTAAAAACTATAAAAGAAAGGAAATAAATGATAGAAGTGAAATTCTCTTAAAAGAAAGTTGAAGAAAAGCAAGTGATTCTAAGGAGTGTTGATCTGTTACACATTCAGAGATTTTTAAAAAAATCTGAGTTATTGCTATTTTTGCCAACATGATTCAAAATTGTTAACTTAGAAAAGCTGCCTATTATTTTAACTTCCTGAAATGAAATACGAACATTATTTTATTGCTATGATTATGTTGATTACTGTGTTTGCTGTTGTGACAGCCTGTCATATTTAAGAGCAGGTTTCCTTTTTTCTCTAAACTTGCTACATCATTTATAATGGCTTCGTGATTCTCTTTATCATGGGTAAAATATCTCTCATTGATTGTGGCATCATTTCTCAAAGAACTGTCTCTTTTTTTAATATTTGCAAACAAATATAAAAAACCAAGAAGCCGAAATACATATTTAGCTGGAATATCATATTATATGATGACAACACCTTGTCATTTTTCTCCTTAAGGTCAGTTGTGTCAATAGAGATTTATGAAAGACTACAGCTCTGAGTTTTCACAATTGAATCAGGAGAAACTGCAATTCTTCTTTGTTATAATTCCCTTATCTCTTAATATACAAGAAATTAAGTTTGTGAACCTTTTAGGATTTGATATGAAATATTTTCAGTAGATTTTCTCTATTGCTTAGATTACCGTCTTTCTTTTGGACTACTTTTTGTTTTTTTTAAAATAACAGGAATTTATTAATAAGTTATAGTGTGACTAAAGAATACACAAATGGATACAAATTTTAGCTGGAGAAATGTCAACTCCATGAGCGTTAATTTTAAGCTATACTCAATAGACTAAGAATTTGTTATTATAAATTAACATTTAAATGTAATGGAGTTTTTATTTAGCCATTTCAAGACCAAAATATAAGATGTGTCACTTCAAACGCATCGGTTTTCTAAAACTCATATACTTTCAGTTTGCAGATAGTTAGTAACTTCAAATGTGAGGATGAAGAAGGTGGTTGGCATTTGACATCTTCATTATATGCATCAGGATAACCAGTAAGTATTGTGACAACATTATAGAAACTTTTATGAAAAAGATCAGAAGGTGAAGTAACCATCTGCGGCCATATCTTCCATTGAGGTCTACACGTTTCTAAAGACACTTCCGTGAAGAGCCTCTCTGTTGTTCTATTTACACCATGTCAAAACAGCAGTCTTGGCACCTGGAGGGACTGCGGTTGTGTTTCATTGCAACATTTTCAGAGTTTGGGGAACAAAAAGAAGTCTGAAAGGGCAAGATCAAGATGTGTCTGTTGTTTGACCGAAAATTCTGTAGGGTGTCTAAGAGCCATATCCTTAGGGGTCCTACCTGTCCCTATCTGAATAATAAACCTTTTAAAAAATGATTTTGAATTTTGCTCCACATTTTTTCCACACACTCTAGTGAGCACTTTCGCTGTAGTTTCTTTCAGCGTAGTTGATAGCAGTTGCCAGGCACCACCATCTAGTTCTTCTCATCTCATGGTTACAGATACTGATGTTGGTGTGGTCTATTTGATTTTCATAATTCTTTCTTTGCAACACAGAGACTAATAGTGGCATCTTATATGGCCTTTCATAAACTTTTAAGACCTTTAGGCTCTACTTGCCAAAGAAGAATGTAGGACATTGTCTTGGTAGATTGTCTATAAGTGCTGTAATCTTTACACAAAGAATTCTTATCCAATATGCTAGCAGCACCAACTGAGAAGCACTGGGTAAGATTAATAGGTCATATAATGAGATCCCAGTGTGAAAAAAAGCCGAAGCTTCCATGGCTCCCATGCTGACATCTGGCTCATCTGTAAAATGAAAATAACTGATCCTACACTGTGGGACTTTTTTTGAGAATTAAAAGTGAGCACATTGTATAAGTCAATACCGTTATGTTTAATTGTCCTAATTTTTAAAAGCCCTCTCTTTCACTAGAGTATTAAGATAAAGATTACTGAAAGTTCTTAATGTTGATCTTCCTGTATTTACAGTCATATACATACATACATATATCCCTAATGAAAAAAAGTGCTTATTTGAAGATTATTAATTTTGACACAAAAATATTTAAAAAATAAGATGGGGATTTTTGATATATGATTCCCTCAAATTGCTTTTAGTTTGGAATTTTGTAAATATACATTTTGGTACATGTGGAGCAATAGGTAAGTGCATAAAGGAAAATAATTTAGTATTGGAAACTTATAATACATATTCACATAAGCACATTATTCAGAGGGCACAGAAGAATTAACTTCCTGGGTACTCAACTTGGTCCTGCTCTACTACAACTTGTTCAGTGATGAATTTACTTTACAAAACTAGGATGAGAAGTTCACCAGCAATACACATGACCTGCTGGGTTGTGGGAAAGAATGATTAGATTGTTATTTCAACATCGGCTTTTTCTCAAGCCTTTGTCATTGCTACGTTGGGAGTGTGTTTTATAAATATACAGGGTGTGATACCATGTAGTTCATAAATACAAATAAGCAAAGAAATATATTCATAAAATTCTCAGGAGACTTTCTTCAACCATGTATATAATTAGAGGTGTAGGATCAGAATTTTAGAAAGTACTTTCTTAAAGAATAAAATAACCTCAAACTATGAATGAAGTAATTTACTTCATGGACTGAAGCCATCAGGACAGAACCTTGGTTTCATCTGACTCCAGCCAATGACCCTAAAACACAATGTTGTTTTTGACAGTGATTCCCAGTCCTAGATGGATTTGGACAATGAATTAAGATAGTAGCCACTAATTTTGGTTAATTTCACCTATTTTCATGAAACCAGCCTCTTCCCATTCTCTCTGATAACTTATTGATTACATATTTTTCCAACTTTGTCATATTTCAGTTTCTCTGTGAACGTGGTGCAGTGACGGTCATAGGAATGATGATAGGGCGAATGATGGGGGTTGGAGATCTACTTTTTAGAAAAGCGCTAGGGTAAGAACCATTTAATTAATGATAA